ATTATATTTTATCTCTACTATTATCTACTATTATCTTTTCTTGCTATAATTTGAAGCTATTTTTCTATAATTATACAGTATACATAAGCATACACAATATGAGACACTCAGGTATGCCTAAGAATTATTCCAGACAAACTAAATTTAAACTTATCCTACCATTCTTACAATTGAAATACCTTCCAATGCGTTCCAAACTTCACTTGTTCTTTAAACCTCTCATAATATAGCTAGTATCTCCACAGTGTACCTCTACCAGGCTCGATTCAGTCACTTTCTCATCACAAAGACATAATACCTCACACCCACAACTCACAGTGAGTCCCTGGATGGATGGCTTTAAGCCAGAAATGGCACTTGGAAGTGTCTTTCCATTATTACCTGTATAGTGGCTAATCAACACTGTCCACACCATTGTCTTGAAAGATGCCTAGAAGACAGTAAATTTGGGTGGCCTGGACGGGTCGCAGGAGCATGGTGTGGGGACCATACATAGGCCTGGGCACCTTCCTCTGGCAGGAACTCTTCCCTGCCCAATGCTACCCAGATGCCCTAAGATGAGCACCTTCCCTCCACCATGCCTTTCTGCCATGAAGTTTCCACCCTGGTTCCAGAAGACCATGGCCTAAAAGTGCGAGCCAGACAAGCCTCCCCTTTAAATTTTTATTTTATTTTATTCTATTTGTTTATTTATTTTTTGTGGAACTTGGGATTGAGGGATTGAACTCAGACCCTGGTGCTTACCACGCAAGCGCTTATTCTACTGAGCCATCTCCCTGGCCCCTAAGCCTCTCCTTTAAATCACAGTGCCAACTACTATGTTCCAGCAATGGAGAGTTGACCAATGCAATCTCTGAACTGTTTTACATTTTTTATAGAACTTTCAGTAATTCTCCATCTTTTCATAAATATTTTTATCCTTTTTTCTGTCTTTTAACAAACTACTTATAGCTATCGAAGTCTTTTTCTAGTAGCTTTACATTCTGGATCCTTTTTACATTTGGCTTCATTGATTGCTTTTTTCTCTTGACTATAATTAGGTTTTTCTTTTGTTGTTGTTGTTTACTTCACAATTCCAATGAATGCTAGGCATTATATGTAGAAGAGCAGTGCAGGGCCAGGGAGATGGCTCAGTGGAATAAGCGCTTCCCTGGCAAGCACAAGGGCCTGAGCTCAATCCTCGGTTCTACCAAAAAAAAAAAAAAAAAAAAAAAGAAAAGAAAGAAAGAAAGAGAGAGAGAGAGCAGTGCAGACTAAATAAATGATATTTACACCTGAAACTGCACATGATTCTTTTATCAGGGCGACAGTATAGAGATGCAGGGGTAAGTCAATATAGTTAGTACTGAGTTGTGTTCAGGTTCTTTTATTACATCTACATGTAGTGTACCTTGAACTCTAAGCTGTTCAGCAATAGGATGCTTTTACTTTGTTATGCTAAGGTTTATCTAAGTATTCCTCTTGTAACTCTTGACTTTTAGCATCCTGTAAGCCTGCTCTATTGACAAATATATTTCTACCCTGGTAGTAGATTGATCTTGAAGGTTTTTAGTGCTAAGTTCTTAGTGGGTAGCAGGGAAATTTGTGGGTCTCCTGGTACCAAGTAAGCATAATGCAGACATTTTGCTGCAGATGAGCACTACAGACATCACGATCATGCAGTGCCTTGTTACTGTGGGTGGTCCTGACTAGGTTCTTCCCCCACCCATAAGCAGTAACAGATCTCTCTGCTTTGTATCAGTGCAGGGTCCTAGTAAGTTCAACAGGGTTTCCTATCCACTCTCTAGGGAACATAGCTTTCGTTCCTCACCTATTTTCATCTCTCATTCATAGCTTAGGTGTGCTGGGGAGTACACAGAAAGCAGTAGGTTTTCAAGAGAGCAGAGAAAACACCTGGAGGCAGCTTTGGGGTGCTATAAGCTTCATTAAGGCTAATAGGTACTAACAGGGAAACAGACTAACAGAAACTTACTACAAAGAGAGACTACAGAAGTGCATATAGGTTTAAGAGTCATTCTCGGCAAAATCTCATATGGGTAAGGAGGTGCTTATATGTCAACAGTACTGCCTTGCAAAGTCCATGAGACATGTACTGTACTTAACACCTTCATCTAGGAGGTTTAGTGGAATCCAGTTAGATAAATTATTCAGCTCCACAGGGTACAATAGGGAATGGGTTTTAGAGCTTAAATTATATAACATCATTAGCTCTATTTCACTACATGACCAATATTCCAAAAAAAACCCCAGCTGATTTAACATACAGGTAGAAAGACAGCTCTTCCACTAGACTGTCCAGTTTCTAGTGTCCTTTAAATAACAAGTATATGGATAGTCTGCTTCCCATCCATTTAGAATGCCCCCTTGACTTCACAAGTCTTAAAAGTGTGTGTGGAATGGGAGCAGTTCAAAGACATGGTGCTACGTGTACTAGTTTTTCGCAGTGATGACATGCCCCACAAGCAGCAGATCCTGGATTAGGCTTTCAAAACTAAGAGAATGGAGAGACTTTGCCTCTTCCACAGTAGCTTAAAGCCTTTGCTTAGTATGACAAATACATTTTGAAAGTAAGCAGGGTTTTGAGCTTATGCTCCACTAATGTGGATACTCTGGCATTTCCCAGTTAGTATGCGGCAGCAGGGAGTAGAAATAAAGCTTGGGATGGATTCCCTTGTTTTGGAATACCCTGTTACTGTGAACTATCATGATAGCCTAAAGGGGTGGTAAACTGATGGCACATGTGCTACAGCAGGGTGCTTGTGTTACTGGAAGCTCTAAAATGTCCACCATCCCTAGCCTAGGATCAGCCTTTTGAATTGTATTAGAATTTCAGCATTTTCATTTTATTGCTCCATTTTATGGGAGATACCCCTTCAACCCTAGCTCTATTAAAGAAGAAAATGTTCTTACATCTCATCTCTCCTTTCAGTAAACTTGAAAAACAAAAAAAAACAACTCCATCTGAAAGAGTCACCCATGAAAAAACTTACAATAACATCATAATTAATGGTTAAAGACTGAATTCAGTGGAGTCACCAGAGATGGGCTAAGAAGGTAGTTTTTCAGTCCTGTCATTCTATTCACCATTATACTACTTACCCTTGAATATATAACAAAGTAAATAAAAGGCATAAGAAAACAAGGAAAAAATGAATGACTTTATGTACAGACAAAAGGATCCTGTGTGCCAGAATTAACTAAAGCCACAAAAACTAATAAAATGAGTTCCACAAAATCAAAGAAAAGGTCAATATAAGAAAATACAATAGTAATTCTGTATTTAGCAAAAAAAAAATGGAAATTTAAATTTAAAATACTAATTATAAGAGCAAAAAGAGACATGAAAGACCTTGGAATAAATCTAACAAAATGTATTCATGAGAACTAGAAAACACTGTAGTGAGAAAATGAAGGCCTAAACTAAAGGAGATACTCTTTTTCATTGATCGGAACTACTATTAAGAAGGCAATTCTTCCAAATGAATGTATAGATTTAATACAATTCCAACAGAAATTGCACACACTTAAGAAGCTGATTTTAAAGTTTATGTGGAAAAGTAAAGAACTTGCAAAAGATGACTGAGGAAGGATAAAGTAGAGACTGAAAACTCTGTAATTTCAAGATTGATTAGAAAGGTACAGTGTATTAGTCACTTTCCTAATTGCTGCACAAAATACCCAACACCTACAACATAAAGGGAAAAAGGTTTATTTTGGCTCATGTCTTAGTCTGTGGCTAAGTGTTCTTCCCAAGGCAGGGTTCAGCATAGAACAGACAAACAGTACAGAAAAGGCTGCTTGTCTTTGCCAGAAGCAGAGTAAGAGGGGAGAGCTGGGAAGCGAGACACACCTTCAGGTCACATCCCTAGTAAAGCACCTCTTTCAGCCAGACCCCATCTCCTAACAGAAAGTCTACCACAATGGCCCCATAACCCAATCACCTTTAAAAGCTATATACATATAGCTCCACTTATGAACTCATGAGGTTTGTGGGGGACATCTAGATCTAAACCACACTAATGATGCTTTAGTGGCATAAGATTAGACATATAGAACAATGAAAAAGAACAGATTTGAGAAACAGACCCAAATGTCTATAACCAACTGAGTTTTTATGAAGGTGCTAAGGAAATTTAATGAGGGTTACACAGTCTGTGTAACAGAGAACTGAAAACTTATATCATTGAAAAACTGTAACAACCAAATCAAACCAAACAAACCTTGAGCTTTCATCCTTAATTTGTACCACAAATAAAATAAAATGAAGAGAATAGTTCATAAACTAGGCTGAGAATGTAGGTGGAACCTTTTTGATGTGATAGAAATCTTCCAGTTTATTTAGGAGTTATCGAACTATGTACATTTGCCAAGCTTCTTCCAGTTTCACATTTTAAAAGGGCAAATTTCACTCTGTGTAACTTAGACCTCAATAATATGTGCTTTAAAATTTATATCGTGAAAAATATCTCAGATTTGAAAGGGTTGACAATCAGTATTCACAAGTTTGTCATGTTGGCAATATCCTGTGATGAACACAACCTAATTAGGATACTAGAATAATAGTAAAAGGTGATGGACCTAACCGAAAAATAAAAAAATTTAAAAAAAAAATCATTTGGAGTAATTATGTAGTAAAATCATGCAAAAAAACCTGATAACAAAGTTGAATACTTACGTAACAAATTACACCTATTATATATTCTACTATGTCAAAGTATATATGTATATTGAAAATAATCAATATATGGATATATAAAGTAGTGTTTGAATGTATCTGTATTTCTTCCATAAGAATTCTATTTTGTCTTTTTTTTGTTTGTCTGTTTGGTACTGGGGACTGAACTCAGGACCTGGTGCTTACCAGGCAGGTGCTTATGCCATCCATGAGTTATGTTAATAAATAATAAAAAATACATTGCAGTATATAAGTAACTTACTTGATTACAACATATTAAAGAATTTATGTGAATGCAAATACATGGTGGCCTAGCAAGGTGTACCTTAGCAATCGCTGTTTGTTTAAATATGCGAGTAATCAACCCCATAACAGTCTCTGTGCCACCTGGATTTGGAGCTCTCATCAATTTTTCCCATTCTTCAAAGCTAGTATTCAATTCCTATATGGGATGAAGAAACATTGTTTAGGAATACAGCATGAAGAAGAGAACAATTAATGCAATTATGAATCACGTCCTACATTTTTTCTTTTCTGTTGAGAAAGATAGAAAAACAAAATTCCTATACATTCCAATGTGCTCATTTAAAAATATTAAACAGAGAGGTCAATCAAATGTTCATGCCAATCATAGAAACCAATGACAAGCTATGGGTGAAAAGAAAGCCCATTATAACATTATAAAGCAAACCATTGCACCTTCTACTTAAGGAGAATTATTTAATAAAATGAAAAGAAAAGCTTAAATACCTAAAAATATCATAGTGAAAACATACAGGGTACTAAAGTATTTTTCATAAAAAGACAATTTTTTTGCAGTGCTGGCTCATCCCCCAGGGCGTGCGCCTGTTACCCCAGTGCTTGGGAGGCTGAAAACAGGAGAATCATTATGAGTTGGATCTATGTAGTAAGACTTTGTAGATCCTGTACTAAATACAAAATAAATAAATACATAAAAAATAAAAAGACAATTTTATTCAAAGTCATACAAACATTTAGAGAATTATTGTTATTTTTTTCTTTTTTGAGACAGGGTCTCGCTATGCAGTTCAGGCTGGCCTTGAGATCACTTTATAGCCCAGCCTGGTCACAAACTTGCAGCAATCATCCTGCCTCAGCCTCCCAAGTGCTGGGATTGCAGATATGTGCCACCACACCTGGTGAGAATATTAAATAAAAATAAAATATAATCAAATATTGGCTCTCCATTTTATTTTTCTCTGTAATACTAAAATGGTAGATCAAGAAAATTAGATTATTCTTCTTTTAGAACAAACATATTGCTCAAGGTTTACAAAATACTTTAAGCTTTCAAGATGTAATAATGAAAAATTCCCTGGTCATCAAAATTGACAGCATTTTACAGAATATATAAGAATTGAATTTCCCAAAAGTAAACAGAGATAAGGATTAGGTAAAATAACTCTTCACTTTCTGATATGTTGAACTTCACACCTATGACATGACCATAGAATTACAGGACTTCAAAAACAGGGCTCCTTCTCAAATGTCCTAGACAACAGTTCCTTCTTTAAAAACAGAATCCTAGGGCTGGTGAGATGGCTCAGTGGTCTAAAGCACCTACTTAGAACAAGCTTAGCAAAGCACAGGGACCACGGTTCAATCCCCCAGCACCACATGCCAGCCAGCCCCGCCCCCTGGTGGGCTGAGCTGGCCACACACACACACACACACACACACACACACACACACACAAATAAATAAAAAATAAAATAAAAAGCAGTGGGGATTAAAATAGTTGCTTGATTTAAAAATTATAAAAAACAAAACAAAACAGAATCCTACAGCAAGAAATAATTTCCCTTGTTAATTATTGGGTTTCGTACTCTCTATATATTTTGAACTCTTTTTTTGAGGAAGGGTCTTTTTACGAATTTCAGGCTAGCCTGGTCTTGCTGTGTAGCCCAGGCTGGCCTCGAACTTGCAGTCATCCTCGTGCCTCAGCCTCCTGAGAATTGAAATTATAGGCATGTGAAACAATGTTTATATTTTGAACTCTTAATGCTAATTTTTGTTGTCATTAAAATACTTTTTTATATTCAGCAGAAATGTTTTTCTCCAACCACATTTTATTGGTATATTTTATTGGTGTATTTTAGATACACATAATGATCACATTTATCATAGAGAATTTAGACATCTACATGATATAACTTGCTTCTTTTTTAAAAACACTAGGACACTATCTGTTCACATATTTGATAGCAATCATTAAATGCCTTTATTCTTTTCTTGAAATGATACAAAACAAATTTATATGCTCGATTAACTAAAGCTACTTTAAGAAAGTAGATTTTTTTCATGAATATAAAATACAAACAATCTTTTTTGGTATAATTTAAAATAAGAATTTCAATCACATATAGGTTCTTACCTTGGCTGCTGCTGGTAGAAGATCAAATGGAATACGCTGTCTAATTTTAGGAGGTAGCTGGGTTAAAACTTCAGTCTTTAATCTTCTAATCATTATGTCACTTAATAGCTGGTGAAGTTCATTAAGATTTGATGCCCCTCTACAATCCCACTGAGCTCTTTTACCAAAATACCTGTTCATATGAAGAAAATATATAGCCAAGCTAAATGCTAGAATAAGAAAACAATTTATGCAATATGTTCTATCTTTTAATGATAAGGAGCCATGACACTTTTCAAAGTATTTCTGAATGAAAATAAGTTTTTACAAAGCTCAACTTGTGATATAATAATGAAAAAGATTAGACACTATTCAACTATAGAAAATGTTAGTGCCTAAACTCTGTTTACACTGAATTAAAAGCAAGGTTTAGATGAACTGAAGGCTGAGTTGGATACTGTTTTTAAATGGAGGCCACACTGGCATTAGGTTGGGCTCATACATGACAGTGTCTAGCACAGCCAGCCACACACAGTTGTCTTGGTTATTCTTCTCTCACTGCTAAGACAAAGTACCTGACACCTGAAATTAAAGGGGGAAAAAGGCTTGCTTATTTAGTTCATGGTTTGTAGAGGTCTCAGTCCACGGATCGGCTGGCTCCAAGGCAGGTGTCACAGCAGACAGGCACCACAAAGCAGAAACCATTTGAAGTGGGTAGAAGGTAACAAAGTAACAAGGATGAACACAACACTTTCAATCCCTTATATCTTATCTATTTGCCTTCCTTAGGGAAGACAGCACTCATAACGTTAATCCTAGTCCCTTGATCCTAGCATTGCACCATGAATTAATCACCTGATTTTCATCTAGCCACCTCCAAAAAAAGCCCTATCTATGACCACCTGAGGCTCTGGGGGGAACACCCAAACCAAAACTATTATAGCAGGTATAAACTGTTCGCACACTAGCCACACATTATAACTACCAAAACTACCTCAAGTATTTGCCATATGAGATACTTTCCCTAACTGATTTGTTAATTATGACAGACTGATTTTTTGTTTTTCTATTCTTCTTTTGAAACCACTGGATTGATACGAAAAAAATTTTTTTACAAAGTCATAGGTGCACTATGAGAGAGCGAGAGAGAGCGAGAGAGAGAGAGAGAGAGAGAGAGAGAGAGAGAGAGAGAGAGAGAGAAACAGAGGAAATATCAGAGGATAAGTAACTTAAAGAAATATGGAGAAAGCATACAACAGATGGAAAAGTGGTATCTGACTTGGCAAAAGAAACTTACATCTTAAAATGCTTATACAAGGCAACTTATCCTCTAGACCCCTGAAAAAGTAAGGAATTGAAAGCTCAGTAGTGTGTGCACATATTAAAGCAAGGTTTGCAATCTAGTGGAGCACTTTGTGGAGATAAAATTTAACAGCAGAACTATTGCACAAACATCCCCCATGATTGTGATACCCAAAATATTACTCCCCAAAATTCCCAATACTCTCTTAGGGGTTTGTGTTTATTACCCACCATTGAAAATAGCTGTTAGAAAGTAATTAGCAAAGGAAAATTCCTATTAAGTTTCTCCGTAATTCCTAAAAATAATTTAAGTAACTGGCATTTTTAAAGAAATTTTGATTTATTTTAGCACAAATAGATGTAAATTAGAAAAAGTCCCAATTTTAAAACACTATTTTTTTTGATGTGTAACACTCAAAATATGGAAACAATATAACCAATATTAAAAACTGTATTTGCATTGTGGACTTGATGAGAAAACTATAGTGAATGGTTAGAATTTACTGTATGATAAAGTGATACAGATACCATTTATTTGTCTTCAACAATAAATTTACTTATTTAAAAAACTGAATGCTGTCACTGCACACAAAAACATTTATTTACAGCTGCTAAAAACTGAGTTACTGAAACTTGCCCAATAAAATACTTTGATTTCCTTTAATGTGTTGCCATTATATTTATATTAATTAGTAAGTTCATAAACTAATGAAAGTGGGAACATACTTGACAACATCTGATTCTGTTTTCCCATTCTTATACATATACATTTTGACTACACAGTTATTTTCAACAAATTAACACTACAAACCACCAAAATGAAAAGAAGAGCCAGGCATAGAGGCAAATTATGTCTTTAGATTTGAAATTCAATTTCTTGATTTCATGTTTACCCTGACATAAAAAACTTCTACAGTGTATTGTATAATAAACTACAAAATGAATGTGAAAAGACTTAGAAGTATACAATGGTACTTTCCTCAGTATAATACACAATTATTTATATTTTGGAATTGTTCATGTAAATCACATACAATGTGAACATCAAAACCATATGTCACACAGATTATAGAATGCCATTACCCCAGTTTTTTTCATTGTAAATATCGCAACTTTCTTTTCATGTCTTAACAGTATAAAAATAATAATACAATGGCCAGCTACCTTAAGAAATTCAACATAATATACCAAGCATATTTTCTTCACCTTACTTGTAATAAATGTAAATGGGATTAACAGTTATTGAGCCCTTCTCTAAATAAGAAAACAATGGTTTTAGTGTTATTTGGGAAGTGAGCCAAAGTTTAAGAAGCTATTTTTGTTGGAAACACAGTAAAGCTAAGGGATACTTAAACTGCCTGACACTGGGTAAACAAAACTGTGATGTACTTGATCTCATCATGCAGAAATTGGTGAAGTAGAATTGCTTTAGTATCTTTGAGTTTTCTTTTGAAAATTAATGCAGCAACATCCACTCTTCTTTTCTATAACTTCTTATAATTGTCTTGGACACTATACCCCAAGTTTCCCATCATTTCAATGTTTGGAGAAATGTCTATTAGAGTTACAGCAGGCTCGCCACAAACCTGAAAGGCCAGGAGAGCCTGGAGTGAAGTGCTGCAAGCACTAAAAATACTTTCAAGCTAGACTGATCCTGCAAGCTATCTTTAAATTTGATGAAGCAAGGTGTTTCAATGACAGCACATTCAGAAATTCATGATCATCAAACCAGCATTACAAAAAGTCCTTAAAAAACAGCTTTAAAAAAGACAATGAGGCCAACAAGATGCTAAAGGAGCTATTGGAAAAAATATAACAGGTAGAACAAGGAGTTAAGCAGAAGGGAAAAAACTAAGGAATCAGCAACAAGAAAATAATGCAACAATAGGAATAAGTCAGTAACTTTCAGTAATGACTCTCAGTGCAAATGGTCCTATCTCTTCAATAAGAAAACAAAGATTAGCCAAATGGATCATACAACAAAATCCAACAGTATTCCATATGTGAGCAACACATTTAGACAAGGTTTGGTGATACATGCCTATAATTCCAACACTTGGGAAGCAGAAGTGGAATCATCTCTAGAAGTCCAAGACCAATCTGGGAAAAACAGTGAGTTCAAGGCCAGCCCAAACTATACAGTGTGATCCAGTCTCAAAAAACAGCAAAAGGAGAATGAAGAAACACATTTAATTAAAAAAAAAAAGAAGAAGAAGGAAAGAAAATAACCCAGCTAAAATTTAAAGGGAGGAAAACAGTATTTCATGCAATGGTAAGACCCCAAACAAGCAGGAGTAGCTAATCTCGGGGCCAGCAAAATAGCTCAGTGGTCTAAAGCACCTGCTTAGGCAAGCGTAGGCAGGTTCAGGGACCCTGTGTTTGATCCCGGGCAACTCATGTTGTGCCAGGCCGCCCCCAGGGCAGGCTGAGCTGGCTACATAAACAAAAACAAAACAAAAGACAATGAGATTCCTTCTCACTGGGGAAACAATGGCTACTATCAAGAAATTAACCAATAACAAATGCTGATGGGGCCATGAGGAGAAAGGAATCCTTCTCTACTATAAGTGGGAGTGTATATTGGTGCAACAACTGTGGAAATCAGTGGAGATTCCTCAAAAAACTAAGACTACAGGTCCCATTTGACTCAGATAGTCCCCTTGTATCTTCATGAAAGAATTAGAAGCATTATACTACAGCAATATATGTACACTCCTGTTTACAGTAGAACAGTTTATATTAGCTGAATCTGGGAACAGTCCAAATGCCCATCAAACAATAAACAGATACAGAAAATGTGATTCTTTTCTATTGGAGTACTTCGCAGACATAAAGAAGGAAAAACCTGAGCCATTTCTAGGTAAATGTATTAAAGTTTGAGACAATACTCTTAAGTGAATTAAATAAGATATACACGTCTACATATTGCATTGTTTCACTTGTGTGAGAACCTGGAAGTGTAAACACCAAAATGCATAACAGACATGATCTTTCTATCTTTCTTTTTCTTTCTATCCTTTCTTCCTTCTTCTTCTTCTTTTTTTTTTTTTTAATTCTGGGGATTGAATTTAAGATTTTGCATTTGCCAGGCAGGTGCTTATACTGCTGAATTATCTCCCCAGGCCTTATAACAGACACTGTAAAATAGAAACATGGTTCAAATTAGAAGAGGAACTATGGACGGTAGAGGGGAAAAGAAAAAGAATAGAAGAAAAACGTAAACAAAGCTTTTGTAAATAAGGAAATGAAGAGGGGTTTAAGGCAGCAGAGTAGAATGGGAAAAAAAAAGAATCAAGATACGTTATGTACAGGTACAAACTTTCTATAATGTGATCATAATGTATATCTAACAAGATACTGGAAACAATGCAATAAATTACAAAAAAGAAATCATACATTATGGCCAAGTAGGTGTTATTCCAAGAATTCATGAGTGGTTCAATGTATGCAAATCAATAAAGGTAATACACCACACAAAACAGAAGTAAAAAAAAAAAATCATATGATCTGTGCAATAGATGTAGAAATAGCTTTTGACAAAACCCAAGATCATGATTTTTTTTTTTTTTAAATTTAGTTCAGGGTCTTTAGGGTTTCACTACACAGATCAGACTTGTAGTGATCCTCCTGTTTTCAGCCTCCCAAGAGATGGGATTATAGGCCTGCGCCACCACGCCCAGTTTCAGTCACCATCTCAGCTTGCCCCAGGGATGGGGCATGGCACACCAGGGATTGAACCCTGGTCCCTGTGTCTGCCTAAGTAGGCACTTTAATCCGCTGAGCTATCTAGCCGGCCCTTCAATATCATGATTAAAACAGTGAAAAAACAGATGTAGAATGACTCAATCACAAACTGATACAAGCCATTTATGACAAACCTATTGGCAATAT